GCAATCGCATTGGCACCTTTGGGTAAGGCTCATGCCACAATGAGAGATCGTGTTGATCAGGGTGCTGTAATTACCTTGCGGAGGTTTGTTGCTTGTGATGGGTATATGATTTTATGAAATGGTTGTGCCAACCTAGAGCACTGCAGGCCTTACGTTGAAGGTAAAATCTCCTGTACACGCAAGTTGGAAGACTTGGCAGCCTAGCCGTGCTCCAGAATCCAGGACGCAATCAGTGGTTAATAGGACCCAATTGCACTTCGAATGGGTACTCAGGATTGAAACGGTGGAAAGTACCTGCTGAATCGCCTGCATGTCTGCTCAGGGCCTCCGGGAATAGGTGCGCCATCATCCAAATCCAAACCAAGGTGGGAGTCGTTAGCAAGACCCCAGGACCAACCTCCGGCTGACCCACTCAAGGATCTCCCCAGTGTGGCCGTCGGCCGCTCTGGCGTTGTCCCGCTGCAGGGCAACGTTGCCTTTGTGTCGTGGTGCACACACTTGCGGGCCTCAGTGTTCTGCGGCCCGCCGAGAGGGGCGCCCAGGAGGGTGAAGTTTCCACTGGCGTTGATGCGGGCGCCGGCAGGGAAGGCCCCGGCATCCACACGGGCTGTGGGCCCACCACAAACTACGGGTCAGTGCAGCAGTCACTGGCTGGGAGCCACCAGCCAAGCAAGCATCGTCCAGCTAAGCAAAGACTAGCTTGGGCTGCCCGGCGCCCAACTGTGCAGTCTGCAGGGCCGGTTGGAGTGCCAAGGCGAACAGCAGAGGCCCTAGCGGATCTCCCTGCTGCACACCAACCTCGGACTTGAAGACCGTATCGAAGAGGAGCCTGGAGCGCCAGCACTCCACACATGACCAGGGGCGTTCCAGAAGTTGCGAGGAAGCCTTCCCCCTCCCGAAACATGCTCCTCCATCTGTGGACGGCGTTCCCGACGAAGCGCGACGGGGCGGTTCGGGCTCCCTGCTCCGTGGCGTTCTTGGCGCCTCGCCGAGAGACCGGAGATGTGCGATGTGAAGAAAAGTAACCTTCGGAAGAAATCCCATCTACAGCAGCTTTTGTCGAAATCCAAAAAAAGAACATAGAAACCATCCTGGCATTGCAAGAACCTGCGGTTCAAAAAGAAAAGACGCGGGTGTTTGCATCGATCAACGTGGTTAGACATATACCTCACTCGACCCACGATATCCCAAAGGTTGGAGGTGGTGATCCAAGGCCTGCGAGACGATGAATCAATCACCGTGGATTCCGCGTGAAAGCGCCCCACAACGATCCACAGGAATCCACCGGGTCATGGGAGATCTGTTCTTGCATCTTGCGAATTGGAGAGGTACACGGTACATGTGCAGAAAGACACCCAAATGCTCTAGACAAAAGAAAATAAGCTACTAGGAACAAGTGCATCGCTTCTAGTAACAAGTGCCTTACTAGTAGCAACAAGAAGCTATTAGAAACAATAATTAGTTATTAGAAACAATAAGCTACTAGGAACTTGTTACTCTCCAGTACTCCCTCAAACGCACCAAGTGCCCTCCAAGTGTCCCACTTCCCACCCGGCTCCTTGAAACGAGCTCGGCCGGTCATGAAATCCATGGGCTCCACAGCTGCTCCTGGCGAAAGCACCGACCCAAGATGTGCTCCCCGGTGGGTCTCTCCGCTCCACTGGTGCCCCAAAATGGTTCGTCTATGTTCGTCTCCCAAGAAACTCAGGAAAACGGTAGCGGGCTTCTAATGGGAAGGCAAGGGGTTGAGACAAAACTGGTCTAGACAAGTCTCCCAAATGGCCAAATAAGTTTATAATATGGCGGTCAAAACCTCACCCTTCAAACCGAAGGTTGACATCCCTTGACATAGAGGAACCTAGGTCCTTTTCAAAGGTCAAGCAGGGTGAACGAGTTTTCACCCACAACCACATACTCTCATTCATTCTCTTGTCTGCGATGACCTGTTCGATGGCAAGCTGGACGGACTTGACGGGGGCTCGAAACCGAGCTCGGACGGGTGTGGATCCAGTCCCAAAGAACCAATAGAGGTTGAAGAACCGTATAGGCTATCCTATAGGTACCCTGGTAGGGTCCTAGTTCAGGTCACTTAACCTCTGTTGCAAGTGGCACTACGGGTTCTTGCTGAGCGAACCAGTTCTGTTCCTCAGGTCTCGAAGAATGGTCGAGTCCAGGGGGGGGTGTAGTCAAATAATAATAGACGAATCTCATTGGTGTAGTCCAATGAACATGAACATTGTAGTCTAGAGTCTAGAGGGTGTGGTAGTCCAGGGGGCTCAATGAGCAATGCAATCCCAATGTTCATTGAGCCAATGAGATTGTTTGCTTCGAGCCTTAGCAAATAAATGGAGAGCACGAGCTGGCTGATGGCAACCTGTCGGCCCCCGTTTTCGCTGGCTGAACGCGGCAGTGAAGTTTGCCCTACCTGGCCCTACCTCAAACAACCTGGTAACCTGCTTGTTGAAAAGTTGTCCACAGATTGCTCTGCCTTAGTGCTGGCTGTTTCCAACCCAAGTCACAAAGATCATGAGACTAATTTACATGAGACTACATATAAAGGTTTCCTCAACCACACAGTATGTGAGGGATTGTTAACTGCACCTCCTGCCGCTGCCAAACAAAGGGTTTCGCTTGGTAACCAAACCATACGGCTGTGGATCAGAATGGGATCCACGAACGCCGTGGTGTTTTGGTGCGTGTCTCGTCTTGCATGTGCTTTTCCACGGGTTGTGTAAAAAAACAGGTGTCAACTCTCAAAGATCTCCAAACAGCAACCCAAGTACAGTTGGGGCGGATCCACCATAATCAACCAAATACACCCACTCAGGTCAGCGTTGGGATAGAGAAAAACAGACCTGTACGAATCACTAGGATAACTGAATGACTGCAACCTCTCTTCACCCAACTCCACCCTACTAGCGATGGCCTCCACCCTAGTAGCGATGGCCTCCAACTTACTAGCAATGGCCTCCAACCTAAGAGCAATGGCCTCCAACCTAAAAACGATGGCCTCCAACCTAGGAGCTTCTTGTTACTCTTTCTTCTCTTTCTTTCCTCTCAGGTGTTGAAGTATGACTGCAACCTCTCTTCACCCAACTCCTTTCCATTCAACCACTCCGGCTCTTTTCAAGTGAACACACCGCCGTTCAAGCGATGCCTTCGGGTCGGGGGTCTGGGGATTTCGCGTGGCGCGAGGCGAAAGGAAAACGGCCGCGCCGAAAAAGGTCCCGGAAAACGGAGGCCGGCTGTGGTGGCACAGGGCTGTTGATTCATGCAAACATGGTCAACTCTTCAACAACATCGTCAACTGAAATCAACAACATGTCCTCAAGAACCATGACCTACCAAAGACCTACCACAGCCGGAGGAAAGATTTAGGGTTGGAACAGCGTGGAAATCGTTCACTGACCTAGGAATTACAGTAGATTTCTTTGGATGCCTCTTGTTTGCACAGGATTCTCCTCTAGTTTGCAAGTGAAAAAGAAGGCACCACTTTGAATTTTCAGGCATCCAGTGAATGATTTCACTCTTCCAAACCTTCTTAGAAGGAAATAACTCAGGCGCGTAAAATATGTTTCGCGCATCTGCAAACATGGTTTGCAATTCTTTTTGACGGATTGGAGCTGCTAGCATGTAGGCCAAGAGGTTCTTCCATCGCTAAAGGCTTGTTCTCTTGTTCTATGCTGGTACATGTTTTACCTGCCATTTGTGCAAGGATGTGTGGAGGGGGGGCTTATGAACCCCTCACACACAAGGGTATTATTCATGCCTACGGTTGTTGGTGAAAACTGACCATGGCTGGAGAATACACAAGCTTGCAATCGCAAAAGGTACAGTATAAACAACAACCGGGGCATGTTCCTGTTGCAGCAGTTCCCTTTTGAGCAAAAGCCCCCCCCCACTGCCCCCACACATTTCTCATGTCCAGCACGCATGAAATATGTGTATGTATATATATATATATGCATAGACCTCCCTATAGACAATAGATCAATACAGTATGTGTTATGCAAGCCGTACCCCCCTTCAAGGACCTCCATTTTGGTACGGTACCAGCAAACGAGTGTTTGGTCAGATGACCACTACGTAGTTTCCAGACTTCCAGATGGCGGTGGTAGACTACATAAGAGATCTCCCAGTCACACTCCTAATACATCGAAGGCTAGCAGCAGAAGGGTCGCCCAACCTTCGAAGGCTTAGAACTGAGCACTTCGAAGGCCTAGAACCAGGAACCAGCTGCTCAACGACATGTAACCGAAGTGTACGGTGGAACTTCACGAGTTCGCCTCTGATAATTGAAGTACCCACCATTCTTAGCTTTGCTCTCACACGTGCTTGTCGTTTACAGCTTTGTTCTCCCAGAAACCCTTGCTACAGGCCAAGGGCCAAGAGTCCTTTTTCCAATGTGCTTGTTGGATATGGGATTGTGTAAGTCTCAATGAGAACTTTATTCTGATCCAAAGAAGGTGCTTGTTCAGTGTTGTTCTGCTTGTTGTGTTGTGTTGGTGGTTTTGGGGCCGTCTAGAGGTAGGGCACACTCATGTCAATAAAGACATACAATCAAAATACTGGTTTCAGAGTAGATGGCACAAACCCCAAAAGGTGGTTTATATGGACCCCTACATAAAAGCCATCTTGGGGGTTGTGCCATCTACTCTGAAACCACTGTATGCGGCGTCTAGTGTTTTGGCAATGTCCTGATTTCTTGTGGGAGAACATCGGCTCGTTTTCTTGAGCGTGACCTCTCCGGCACCAAACGGGGGTTTTGGATGAAATCCAGTGGGTTGATGGAGGAAGAGGCATAATGCATATGTATATATATACATATAGTTATTGTGTTTTAAAGTTATATTATGTGTATATATCTATATCAAATATGTGTATGTATATATATATATAGATCATACATGTCTTGTATATGTACATATGTATATATCTTATACTATCTCCGTATATATTATGTATATATATAATATATCAAATATGTCCATGTCTCCACCCTCCACCTTGTCACCGTGTTGTCTCTTCGGCATCGCTCTCAACAGCTCCGGCTCGCGGCTCAGGCGTTCTTCTTCTGCTCCCACTTGGCGGCCTCCTCCCGCGCGCGCTCCTGGAGGATCGAGCGTCGCCGCTCGCCCCGGCTGGTCGTGCTTCTTCCGCTCCGACCCACTTGAAGGGGTTCTTCCTGATTGAAGGGGTGTGAGAGGGGGAAGGTGTTCGGTGTTCTTCCTTCTTTTTCAATCACAGGCGCTAGTAGTGCCAGTCACAGTAACCCACTTGAAGGTGTTCTTCCCCAACTAGCTGGCGCTAGTGCTAGACTTCGCTCGGATCACACGGCGCGTCGGATCGCATCGACCGGCCGTGTTGGGAAACCTCGCGGCGCGCGCGCGCGCTTGGGAGCACGACACTTAGGTCACCGGCTGTGTCGAGGAACAGGGTCGTCTTCAAAATGGGCTTCCATGCCACCCCCACCCCGGAGGGTATCCATTGGATCTTCACCGAAGTTGACCCCCGGACCTCCACCATATGTCAAGAACCGTTGAAAAATAATGGGCTCCTGAAGATCCATATATATATATATATACCTACGTAGAACCCATTTAGACCTCTGATAGGAAAAGACCATATTTGGGGTGCTTGGTGATCTAAATTAAATAGAGGTCACTCGGGTTCTATCGGTATACGTGTATATATATATATAAATCAAAATAATTAATACAAATATCCTGCAAAGGTGTGCCAGGGGCCATGCTACCTTCGGTCAACCTATGTCATGCTACCTTCGGAAGTAGTTGGACCCACAAAGACCGAACCTTTGGATATCCATAGTCATTGACACTCAGTTCCTTATTCCAACACCGCACACCGTCAACCTCAAAGTAATCAAGAAAGCCACCGTCTCTCCTCCGCAAGCTTCTGTCGCTCCACCATTTCCTCAGGGCTGGCCGCCGAGCGCCAGCCTGGTGCGATCTCTTCGCTCATCTCCTCTTGCTTCATGGTATCCTCCGCCAGACATCGCACCCCGAAGGGAAAAAAAATACTTTCGACGTCCGACATCACCACCACGACTCTTCTGAAAGGCGAGTGAATGTGGTGGTTGCCGTGTGACTCTTCTTGCGGAAAGCCCAAGCTTTCACGTTCCCATCGCAAAGGGGTCTCGCAAAAGGCGTTTCTACGATGAGGGGTGAAAAAAAATGGGACTCGATCACTTCGATCAGTTGGAAAGAGTCTACCGAATCGACCAGACAGCAATGGCAGCCGCATCATACAGCTATGTCCCCTCGTGTCGCACCATCTTCGTGCACCTCTTCGTGCGCAGATCCGGGTCTTCCAACGGCCGGAAGGCGAGTTCGTTTCACGCCATGCGGGTCATGCTACAGAGCCCAGTGGTTGTGCGTACAGAGCGACCTGTCGACAGGTGACTTCAACTTCGGGATCTCCAGGACACCCAGACAGGAGGCTCCAGGTACTTTGAGACATGGAAATCTACTGACAACACAACTAAGTGGCTCGAACCCGTCGGCTCAGCCGCCTGGTCGAAGTAAAGGGTCGATTCGGTCGACTGGGTCGACTTGGGCGTCGAAAATCCCGGAATGTCTCGAGCACCCCTTTACCTTTCATTAAGCCAGCATGGAAGTCTGTCAATTTCATCCATCTTGGAGATATCCCTTTTCCCACAGCTATCCAACCAACTCCTTCATGATCTTTGCCATCTTCTTGTAGGCCTTTCCCTCTATCCCATTCACCTTCTCATACCTTTTTCTGGTCTCACAAACGTAACTCGTTTTGGTTGGAATCCTTCCAACTAAAGTATATAGCTATAAAAATGAAAAGCGAGGATCCAAACAAAATCAAAAGCTTCTCGTGGGCTTGCCGAGATACTGTTCCAAGCGCGCCTCGATCTGATTGGTCGTCGGCTTGTACTCCTCAGTCATTGAGATTCTTCCGTCCGAAGGGCCTTGTGGATGCGTCTCACAATGGACTGCCCAGCAAGGATCAAACAGCATCGATGAGCATTCACATGTGAATGATGAATCAAAACTCCCTTAAGAGTGAGGTCTCACACTGGAGAGAGAAGAAGAAAAAAAACATGAACCCCCTACAAGCACAATGCAGCTGCCCTTCCCAAGACAACAAATCCATGTTTATATCATTCGGGCGCGAGGGACTGCACTCTCAGGTTGGGTGAAGGAGGCGAAAGAGGTGAAAACCCAGAGTTCAGCCAAGGCTCACTGTCCCAGACCTTGACCTTAGCAGGAAGCTGGGAGAACTTGAGGGTCAAAACTGAAGAACGTGTAGACTGGGTCATCAGTGAAGTATTCACTACGTGACTGGGTCTCCACGGTTCTGAAATGGCCATGGGGCCGTTCAAAAACCTCTCTAGGGCTTCTTCCCGTCCAAGTGTCTCCACTGAAGACGTTTGGAATGGAGTCATGTTTCACTCAGTTCATGGCGACCGACCCTTGACCCTGCGGCCTCCTTTTTGTTTCCACAAGGGAACTCCTTCTCTGTCGGCACCGCGTGGGAAAGGGTTTCAAGATAACATACTTCGGGAGATACGTTCTGCTGTGTAACAAGTCCGAAGGGAAGAGGTCCCCTGATCGAAAGAATGCTCCGCATGTTTAGAAAGTTGATCTATTTGGGCGTCGCTCAATCGGCCATGAGTGTTGGCATGGATCACCCGAATGTTGTTTTCGCATGTTTTCGCCCGAGTTAGCACCCTTTGGATAGAAATCCTGTTGGCACGAGTTCAGGAATGAACGATTGGTTGCCGAAAAATTGTTTTTCAATTTATAATGCCATCCTCCCACTCCCCACAATGTGCAGCAAAGTACAAATAGTATTGGCAATTGTTTGCAGCATGTTCAGTTGTCCATCATCTTTCACAACCAAGTTCCCCCCAGATCTTTACCTTCGCAACCTTCTCCCACAGATCCTTCCCACCTTTTCGGACGTCGAAACATCGTACCATCAGATTCCACACGAGATTCCCATCGTTTGCAGTGTCCAATCCAAGCCACGAGGTTGTAATCCAAATCCTCGATGTAGACTTCCCAGTTGTAGGGATAGGCACGAAAGGTGGTCATCTGCCACGATTGGCACGGTGCCTCACACGCGTTCTTTGGTGTCCGAAAACCCACCACCGAAGAGAGGAGGAGGAGGAGGAGGAGGAGGAAGGCCCCCGAGTGGATGGAGGTTCGTGGGATCGGATGTTGACATCCACAAGTCTCGTCCAAACGGCTCAGCCGCTCAGTCGGGCCACTCACCGAGCCACAGCGCACGTGGCTCGGCTGAATACATCCAGGGACACCGAAGCCTTTCACGATTTCTGGACTGGTCGAGACCCCTTCGTAACAGGTGGTATCTAAAGCTGCCTGACGAACAAGGCAGGCAAGCAGATATCTTCAGAAAAGCATGATAAAGCGGGCATAATGAATATGATGCCTGACCTCATACTTTTGGTTGGCCTTGATCCTATTCAGACAGCCTCGAGTGTTTGCTGCGCGGGGACCCCTTTTACTAATTAAGATAGAACATTGGCGGCATTTCTTCGTGAGATTCAACGCCCCCATGAACCGACTCCCCAACTGTTCATCCCAGTGGTTCACTAGTCACTAGAGGACGAAAACGTCGGATTCTGCGAAGCAGCGCAGTCCACCCGCCGTCCGCGGCCCCAAAAGAACCCCACATAACCATACATAACCTACGTCGAGGTGTGCGTCGGAGCGGTCGTCGGCCCATGGAGCCTTTCAGAAAGAAAACGTCCCCGGGCCCCCAGATCTGAAGATCGAAAAAGGTTCATTCTTCTTCTTTCTTGGGTTCTTGGTCTAGTTCGTCTCTTCTTTCGTTTTGTTTCTCTTCACCACAGAAATCTATATAAGTCCACTCGGTCGACACGTGTCTATCTCCCCACCACCTCCCCCAAGACGAAGTCAGAGACTGTCTGGTGTTCTCCCAGGATGTGGGTCCTCCCTTTCATGTGCGTCCTGCGAGGTTTCCACCGGCCTTGTCGTAGTAGTAGGTCTGCTCCTGGAAGATGTTGCTGATCTCCTCACCGGTGGTGCGGTCGGAACGAAAGCGCCAAGGTCGGTGGGGTCTTCCAGGTGAGGCGTCCCAGAGAGGACGCAGTAGGACTTCCCAGTGTCGAGAACTCGCCCAGTCATGCTTTTTCATATGTGTTGACCATGTCGTTGGTGGTTGGTTGGAGATCTGGCCCACTTCCAGGTGGGTGTGCATCATACTAGGGAGACCCGGCCCAATGGCTTTGGGATGCTTTGGGTCTATTTTTCTTCCAGGGGATCTTTGGGAGGTTTTTCCTATTTAACCCACGTCTATGTCTTTCTCTCCAGTGCAGGCACATCCTTCGACCCTAAATATCATGTCGACCCTCAAATCAAGCAGAACTGAGCACGCCGTTCGTTTTTGGTGACCATGACGGCAAAGGTGCAGGAAACTGATGGAAACTGTTTCATCTCTCCGATTGCTCAATAGGTAAGTTGGTTGACCTACCTAGGTCAAGTTCCATGGTGCTGTTGAGGCTTCAGGTTTTGACTCAATAGGTGAGTTCTGCTTGTATCTTTGGGTCTCACCACACTTGCCTGTCGCCGGGCTCCAGTTCGGTCACAACGATAAGATGATTTACTGTATAAGCTCGTGCACCAGCGGGCCAGGCCTGTTGGGCTCGTGTTGGTTCTTCCAATGGTGGATTGATGTTGATGCCACAAAGTGAGAGAGAGAGAGAGTCAGAGGTCCCGAGAATTCGGTGCAAAGAAAATCAATGGCGCCATCATTCGCCGCCGACTCATTGAGAAGTGAGAATCCCTACAGCTTTCAGTGATCTGGTGAAAACATGCCAACTGGTCACCGAGACCGGGACCGAAAGCAACAACGGCCATCTATCCAGCCTTGCCCATGTTGGTGTAGTCTCCCCAGTCCATTCCTTGGTCTCTCCGGGTTCCGTCTGACTCACCCGGCCGACCGTCCCGACCGTGTGACCGTGACCCAAAAGAAAGGTGAGGTGGAGACCCGGTCCTGTCGGCGTGGTTTCATGGTTTAAAAAAGGAGAGTGATGTACCAGCACCGACTTCACAGGTCACCAATTGAAACCTGTTAGGGCCTAACAACCCTCCAAAAGAGACCTGTTGGAAGGTGCTGGTAGACTCAAATTATATACTTTAAACAATCCCCTGCCCCAGGCCTGCAGAGATTGTTCAATTCAAAATCACCCAATGTCGGTGTTTCAGCGCTGTTGTTGGACAGATCGTCCATTGGACCATCAAATTCTCCTGCACCCACTGAAATTCACAAAAACCATGCAAAACCATTAACCAGTGCTTTTATACTCTTTTCGACTTGAGTGGATGTTCATCAACCGTCCCCTACAAGTCCAGTCTAACCCACTAAAGCCTGGGTCAGACTAAAACCTCCATCGAGTCGTGTTGTTTACCAACTCCAAAATGAGGCCCAACTGGTCAGTAGCTGAGGTAGACCGCGGTCGAGACCACTGTCTAAGAACGACGGCTGGACACGGTCTGACGTTGCTTCGGTCGTCAACAGCGGCTCCATCCAACCTGGAGACCGGGACAGCGCATTTTACATGACCCACGAGATGCAAGAGAGGACAAGAAGAACAGCGAGACCATGTTTGTGTGTTTGTTGTTCTATTTTTTACATTGTGCTTTTGTGGTCTATAGAATGTTTAAGTAAAGGATCAAGCATCGTTCAGGGATGTTCCCATTCAGTCGGCCATAAAACACGGCTTTTACCCAGTCCAACTTTTGGGCTGCTCAGACCACTGAGCCAACGGACTTCCACCATGCTTCCTTTGAAGTCCACGCGGAAGAAGGACTGGGCGTTCTCCGTGTTCACCAGCAACACCAAGCGATCCTTCATCCTTCGGATGAAGTTCTGGGTCTTCTGCTCGGCCATCAAGTCTCGACCTTCGGAACTCTGCGCCCGCGAGCGCTCTCTTGCGCGGGTGGAGACCAAACACCGCCGGTGGCCCAACGGTCGCCTCTCAGGTGGTGTTGGGTCGGTGTCGGTCGGTCTTCACACCCGCCCACAATCCCTCCGAGGGTCGGGTCGAAGTCGAATTCTTTCGTTCGAAACAGCAAGGCTTCCACTTCCTGCAGGAAAGCGCCGGAAGTGGAAGCCTCCCTTGCCACCTTCAATGACTTCATGAACCCCAAAAATCTCAGTTGGGTGAGAGAACAGGGTGGTTTCTCCACCTGCGAACCTCGAAACTGACCTCCCAAGACTTACATCCACATCTTCGGTGCGTCCTTATCCTTTCTTCACCGTGCTCTAGTGGGGTGGAACCATGAGCCCTCACAAGTCACCAGCCTGGAAGATAGAACATGGCCATATCCTGCATCTCGTTGTCGGATTCGCGATAGATCCTGAGGGGTCGGTCAAGAGACCTGTGGACCGCCCCATCTTCAAACGCTCCGAGACCGTCCGAGGCCCGGCCCGTGCTCGAGGCCGAATCTGCTGAGAGGCCCACAGGCTGGTGTAGTAATAGTAAAAAGGGCCGGCGAAACAAGGTCACATGACATGGATCCACCAGATGGATCCACCAAGCTGAGAAGTTGCCAACAAGCTGGCAGTCATGAGTTCCAATCACACTCGCACGGACAAAGGGCAAGGATTTCAAAGATGGCACCACCCACCCTAGATCTTGTTTTGGATGGAATTCATATAATATATAAGTACACAAATAGATACAAATAGATAATTTAGATGAAAACTCCTGACACCCAATTCAATTCCTTACACCCAATTAGTTGGCAAAAGAATTATGTGTATAAATAGATCATATGTATTTTATTTATATTATATACTCTGAAACGCTGGGACCCGGAGTTTTGACGTTTTCCAGGCCGGCATGACTCAGGTCTGGGGGGTCCTCGATGGAAACCGGGGGCTTCACGTCTTCAACCAAATGGGTCAAGGCCTTTGAAAGTTGAAGGCCTTCAACCAAATGGGCGAACTGATCAGCTCTTCCAGGGGTCGAACTGGAAGGTCTCCTTTTCTAGTACACAGCCGTAAGTGAAGACCCCTGGTCAACCTCAATGAAACACTGCTGCAGACTCTCTCGATCAGCAGAGAGTGCTTCTTTGAACTCACCCAAAGTGTGCTGCCTTTGAACACCTTCCCTGTCACTCGACTCGGGTGGAAGCAAAGGTTCCGGAAAAGGAGATAGGTTGATTCACACAGAATGAGTTGGCATGTGACTTGCGCTTCATCAAATGGCATATCACACATTGCCAAAGAAATGTATGGACATGTGCCCCACCACCACCTTGTTCTGCCCCACCACCACCACTCCGGGCCACCATTCTCTGCCGCAAATCTCCACTCCCGACCTGAAATGGGCCATGGAAACGCGACCTGCCCTGCTGTCGGCGACCGGCTCCACCAAGGCTCAAGGTCCCGGCTTGATCGTCCACCACGGAGGTCTTCACATCCTCCAAACGGAATGCGCCGGATTCCGCGGATCCGACGGATCCGGCAAATTGGGGGGATCGGTAGGACCGTAGATCAAACGACTGCCCCAAGAGCTCCGTCTCATCACGGGGTACCGGGGTGATCTCAGAGATGGAGGGGGCACAAAGATGGACAGTCGCAGCACGCCGGCTTACTGTGTAGTGTCTTGCCTCGTTCGAGCGAAAGAGGACGTCACGCGTTCGAAGATGCAAGAAGATGCAACGCGCGTTCTGCATGACCATGAAGTTGGCTCATCGTTCTTGCGACCAAATTCTGGTCACCCGGTACCCCAAACAACCGTCCATGACCTCTTCCAGCTACCCAAAGGTTCAGAGTTTGGACCCTCAGTTCGGGTTTTGACCCTCACAACTAGGGTTTTGGACCGAACCAACATGTAGCAGTTGGTTTGGGGTCCAGGGTTGCCTGGGCAGAGAACCGCCTTGAGGACTTTCGAGGCCTTTGCCGCGTCTTCAGCCGAAGTTCTTTTCACAATCCTGGGGCCTCTCAGTTGAAAATCGTTGATCGAACAGGACATTTCTGTACTTGAACATGGAAACATGTCTTCAAAACCATTTTGGACATTTTGGGACACAGTTTCTACCTCTCAAAATATGTTGGGCCGCTGAAAAAAGTCATGTTCAGTGAATCCCTAGCCTCTAGCACTATTTCACTTGTGCAATGCCGGCTGAACTCCCCCCCCATCATTCCCATCACTCCGCGAACGCGGGCACAAAAACAAACCCTCCGCCACCCAACGAATGAACATCCCTCACTCCCGCCCTCGCCTTGAAGAAGTCGCCACCCCACAACTTCTTGGACAAGCCCTCCATGAAAGGCGTCGTCGCCATCTGCAGCGCTTGGATGCCCTTCACGTACCTCGCGGTGACACAGGCGCGCCACAGGCGCGCGCGGTCGACGGAGGCCACACGCCCGCCGTGCGCAACGCATGGAGTGGCCGCTTTCTGGTCGTAGAGCTTTTGGACTAGTGGGAGCCTACTACCTATGTCTTTTGAGAATCTCATGGACCAATGTGACGTGCTTTTACCCGAAGCGAAACCCGCAAAAGCTTTCAATTCTGGGCCCCGAAAAAACCATGGTCATGTTGATCTCCGAAAGATCCTCCGTTCAACATCCTCTGAACTCCGTGAGAACCCGGTCGTGATGTGCTGTGGAAAAAGTCTCGCCCAAGCGGCAAACTCTCCATGTCGAAGAGCTCGTCCAGGCGTAGCCGGACCGTCTGCCGGGTCTTCCCATCGCGGTACGCCCGCATCACTGCATCCGCCGCCTCCGCCGAAGAGGGGGCGGCAAACACGCAGAGGGCTGGCTGGCCATCCAGAAGTTGGTCAAAGAGCTGTCCCACAACATGGATCCTCTTGAATCTCAAAAATAAAACCGCCAGATCTTGGACGATTCTGGGACCATACAATTATTTTTAATCAGTCATATCTCCTGAAAGGTAGACTTGAAATGGCTAAAAATACAGAAAACGACGTTATGCGGGTGTGGTTTTTACGCGTTTTTGTGATTTGTGGTTTTCTGTGTTTTTTTTGAAAATGTTAGTTGTTTTGAAGAACGTGTCTAGCAAATATGTCGACTTGTAATCTATCAAATTTCTCATCAATCTGATTCAAACATACTAGTTCTCATTGATTCCCACACAGAAGTCCATCAACCATCATCTATCAGCAAGTCCACGACATCCCATCATACAACATCAGGTCATCACCTCTATGAGGGAGATCTGGTCTCCAAGACCTCCAATCTCAATCAGTCCTCAATCTCCAGCAACTGGGACCTGGGCCTGGGCTTCTCTAGGGGGGGGGGGGGGCCACAAAAAAAAAAAAAAAAGGCTATTCCACGCCCAGAATTTTTTTTTTTTTTTTTTTTGGCCCCCCCCCCCCCCCCCCTAGAGAAGCCCAGGCCCAGGCCCCACCTGGAGATTGAGGGCTCATTGTCAATTCCACGAGCTGGAAGTGGCCCAGGTGCTAGAGATAGATAGTCAAGATTATTGGTTTCATTATAGCTACCTGTGTAAGAGTAGCAATTCCACCACAACTTCTTATCTTCCTCTCGTCTGTTTGAAGTCTGCTCCTGCAAGCACTTACTTGTATATACTGTAGGCTCTATGTGGTGAGGGAGGATACCTATACTGTATGGTCTCAATGATGGAGTGTGGAAGATTGTCTTGATTTGATGGCTTAAGATATCCAATGAAAGAAAGAGATGGGCATATAGCTAGAGAGCATAGGAAAATGGAACTTCCAATGTGGATGAAATGAGATGAGATGAGATGAGATGAGATGAGATGAAGCATTGGGTGCATCAAACAGCTGGCATTGGGCTTGTGGCTGTATGCGTGCAATTTCATTTGAGACCAAAGGCGGTTGCGTAGATGCAACACCTGGGCACGAGAGATTGGGATCCTGACTTTGAGCAAATTGTTTTGCCATACAAGCCATTGAGCAAATGCTCTAGACAGCAGCACAATATGGATGGTGCTTCGATTGGGTTTGATTGTCCTCCAAGAACACATGGGCACCATGTGAGAGGGAAACTTGCTGGGCAATCAATGATGGGGATGGGGTCCATGGAATGCCTGGTGCAAATGGGTTTGTGCATGATTAGGTGGCCCAATGGAAGATCAGAACCATTTGGGTACAACATTGGTTGCTCCTTATGATTCATGCTATTGGTAGGGCAATTTTTTTTGCACAATCTATTGGTTTACTTTTGGGTGGGTGTTGGTGAGGTCCAATGAGGTTTTGAGCTTGGGTGGCATCGCGAGAATGTCCTTGGCAATGTTGGGTGAATATTGGGAGCATGCTGAGCATGCCAGGTTTGGTACAACCTGACTTCATGTATGTCTATGTGTGGGCAAGAAGGTTAGGGTGAAGAGAAGGTAGCCTTGGGAATGAGTAGTGGCCACACAGCCAATTCAGACCCTCAGTGTATCTAAGGCTGGATCATTCCATGGGCTTCATAAGATTCTTTGGAAGATTTCGTCATAGATGGGGGGATATGGAGCATAGATCTGAAGAGCCATTGGGTGAGAGCAGTGGAGATGAGCAGGATTGGTCCAATCGAACTTGTGGGATAGGATGTGAGCTCCCAAGTGACCCTGAGAATGAGGATGAGGCTTATTATGGGTATGGACGTCAAGAAGGCCATGCAAAACCCAATTCCAATCAGTCATCCAGGTCCAGTACTACTAAGCAAGTTTCTCAACTTTTGTTGGGCGTGGTGGGCACATTGTGTTTCAAGATAATGATCTTCTCTCCATTTCATAAAGAATGTGGAGGGAGAAGTCCATTTCATAAAGAATGTGGAGGGAGAAGCCCAAAAAGTGCTACCTTTGAAACAATGAGAATGCTTTATGGGCAAGGAAGGGTAGAGTTGGATCCAGAGGTTTTTTAAACAAGAAAAGTTGGTTTTGTTTAGGAAACTGGAGCACAAGAACATATCTAGACTATAACCATGGAAACTCTGACTAAACATGACAAAATCTAAGAAAAACACCACAAAAGCACGTAAAAACCACACCCGCATAACGTCGAGCTCTCTAAACATACTACAAAAAAAACGCCCCCACCTCACCTTGCTTTCTGGTTATTAACCCCTCGAAGTCTGAAATGGGAGACGTATGGAGACATCTTCATGATGCGAATGGTGCGCTTCTTTTCAGAGCATAAACCTTGTTTTCTGGGTAAGTTTCCGGGGGGTCTGTCCAACGGCAAGAGAACCAAAAAAGGTCGGACCAGACGGGTCATGTCCGGCTCTGGCCCTGAGAGGCTCCGACTGGGCTCTGGAGGGGATGGACCAATCTTGAGCTTCGAACGCCCAGGGTAGGACAGATGGGAAGGTTCTGAAAGAATCTGTGTTCTTAGTGATCCCGCAAGACCATCTGCATTGAAAGCAGTATGGACAAATAAACTCTGAAATGGGGTCTCAACCTGGGCACGGGGAATTGATCAATTTGTTGGACTATGTAATTTAATGTAGCAGCGCCAAACATCGCCAACGAAACAATTCAAAATAAAATAAAATTATTGTAAAATCAATTGAACAGTGCATCTCCACCTTCAATCTCAGTCTCCAAAATCTACTCCAGACATCAGTCCTGAAACCACTTTCCAAAGGAAACCTCAACATGCGCAAAAAGGCACATGGAGGCATGGAGGCAGTTTCCAACGTCGGGATTGTACGGAAAAAGGGATGTATCCTGATTTGGCTTGACGCCGTCTGTGGCGCAGGGCCCCCCGGCCCGGGGTTTGCTTGGGTGATCATTCCTGGATGCGGAAGAGGATCGATGCAGCCCAGCGAGGTTCGATTCCTACCTCACGGGTCGATCCGGAGCACACTCCACGTCCACCACGTCCACGCCCACCCGTCCACCTGCTGCGCCATCTCTTCAGGGGATTCGGGCAACGGGGGCGGCCCGTCCGCATCCCAGGAGAAGGTCGGCAGATCCTCCGTGCGAGTTGTTCCGCGGACGGAACAAAAAGTCCGGGCGGTCGCCAGATCGGCCAGATCGGCTTGAGGAGCGATTTCTCATCGCAATCTCTCTCCTAGCTATAGCTAAAAGAGTATTTTAAAGAATGTCTAATAAGAGTCTAGTCGATCTATGTTGCAGCGAAATCCCTCGATCTCACGATCCCTCCCTACTCTTCACTGCCCCTTCCCCCACCATCCCGGTCACCACCCTGAAAAAGTGCCCTTTCTGCTAAGCCCCACCTCCTCCTCCGCCTGCAAGGCCACTCGGGAAGACGCAGGCGCCGAAGCTGATGGTTTTCTCGCTGGACTCGTTGAGGAGAAGAAGCCCACGAAGGAGAGCGACCGAAGAAGCAGCACAGATGCCAGCAAAGGCAGCAACCAACTGCGTCCCGCCATGGCAAGGCTGTTTCAGGGCTCAGTTTCAGAGCAGAGAGGTCGAATCAGTTGGAGGGGATGGATTTTCATGAGGTGCTGGGTTGGGCAAGCTTGAACATGATGTCTGCTGTTCATCTTGATGGCTGTATCATGGCGGGGGTTCTGCTTGTCTTTCATGGGCCTACGCTGATGTTTGGCACGGAGCCAGCGGCAAGCGATGGAGACATGGGGTTCTGGGTGTGTTGGGGCGACCTTTTGGACCCATAAACACTGATTGGACGCAGAACGGGCGCAAACGCTGTTGAATCAGAACGGCGGTCGCGGCACACCTTTTTCCGCGGCACACGCGGCACCACGTGGGGAATCGAACCTCCGCACCGGGAGAAGGTCCAGCAATGCTCGTTGTTCTGCGGTGGTTGAATTGGAGAGAAAGCGGCTGAGACATCGAACGAGGTGTTTCGAAGTTCCATGGGTCACTTGGAGGGATCCGGGGGTTCCCATGAGAGTTGATTCCGGAGGATTGATGGGGAAGGATTGATGGAACTCTGGACCATGACAGTTCCTGAGCGCTGCCGCGGAAGTTCTATAGAGGCCCGTGTCTGCGCTCTTCGCAAATTATGGGCTGGTCAAGATCCGCAGAAAAGCTATGAATGGAAACTTCTCCCTGGCGCTTGCGAAACAATGCCAAAAATGCCGTTTCAAGCCGTTTCGGTGGACATCGACGCGCATTGAGAGAATGGAGATCGTTTTCCTTCCCGCCCTTACGGTGGCTTTTGTTCAAAGAAGACACAAAGACCAATGGAAACACCGAAAATGTCCACTTTTGAATGGAGATGTTCACATGCCAGCTGACTCCAGTGTTGCTATGGTGCGGAAGCAGTTAGGTGTCAAAGACTTCTCTCGAGGATCTGCATCAACTCCCACCCTTGCACTCGTTTCTGTTCATGGAAGTCTATAGGTATCTCACCAGCGGGGTGAGGGGGATCCCTTTATTTGCCCAACACATCCATTGGGTGTCACCGATGGGATCGAGACGGTCATTCTTGGCGCGGATGGCCATGGCTGTCTCAGAGTTCGGGTTGTCCCACCCTAGCCATCCTTGGCTGTGTATCTTTGAACAAGTTATAACGGCGCATGGATTAGCTGATTAGCTCATGTTTCTTTGGATCCAAGAAAATCCAAGAAGTCGAAACTGTTGACGTGCTCAGGCAGAAAACAAAATCGGCCAATCAATAAGTTCCGCTTGAACTTGCTTTATAATTAGAATAATGACGTCGAAGAACGCCAACAAACCGAATCCACAGAAGTCTGCAGAACTCTTCAGCACTCCAAGTGGTTTCCCCCAACCTGAGACGTGCCCAATTCCTCCTCTCCATCGCTATTAGGCTATGTACATCTCCACGGCGGGTCACGCGGGGGGGGGGGTCATTTGCATCCACCTGGGTTGCGGCCGTAGTGGACGGTGGAGTTCGTTTTGAAACAAAAACCCTAGGCTTCCTGGCCCACCATTGGTTTAATGACGGAACCACCATTGGACCATTGTGTTACTCAGGATTTTACACTACACAACCACGTCGTTCCCATTTTTTTATTGGCCTTTGGAAGCCTATAGGGAATTCAAGCCGATGTTCGGGGTGTGTCACTCTCCGATGTTCTTTTAAACATGGACGATGACGATGATGTTACACCTCATTTAGGGTCCAACTCATTTGGAACTCCCATTTCGGGCCGGTTTCACCGGCGGCTTGGAATTTGGGGGGGCGTGTTGGAAGTGCACACCATGCGGGTTTCCTTTGGTTACATCAATTACATCCACCAGGGTTGAACATGACTGTCTGCTCCGCAGGTCAAAAGTTGGGGGACTCAACAAAACAGGGACTGTTTCGGTGAACCCATTCCTTGATGTTTCGGAAGGTGAACTGAAACCCCAGGCATGGTGGGGCAGATTGGGTTCCTCACCCCAGACTTGATTGGTCCCGGCCGGACACCGAATGGACGCTCCCGTCACCCTGGGCGCCCCGGCGCTTCATGGCCAGCACCGGCGCCCGGCGGGCCGAGAAGCCGGGAATGCGCTTCGGCATCTTCTGGAGCTCCTGGCGATGAACCGCCGGCGGAGACACCGGCGGACACTGGCAAGGGGGGTGGGGAACCATCAGCGCCGCGCTTTGGGGTGCTGGAAGAACAAATCCACAACTCCCTTAGGCCCCAAGCCACCAAGCTAGCAAAGTGGATAGTGGATTCGATGTGAACCTCTACCTCGCCTTGGTGGCGAATCGTACCACGCTCCCAACGAACCAAAAGCTCGGAGTCTAAAGCCGTTGCTGGGACGCTTGACGCTTCGCCGACCGTACACGGAGGTTCTCGTTCTCTTTCGCCCTGGGGCGATCGACGAAGTTTCACACCTCAACTGACTGGTGCTTAGTAGGGGAATGACGGAATGAACCACCCCTGTAGGCCCCTCTGGATCCATTCCCATATTCCCTACGAGTCGCGCCAGTCAGTCAAGAGGAACATCTTGGAAACCATGTCAAGATAGGATGATTGATACCACCCAGGTAAGAAACCTGTTTTTTGTTGAGGGTTATAGGATGATGATTAATGATACCCCCCAGGTAAGAAACCTAATCCCTGGATATCCCGTGGGAGTTAACACGACATGTAATTCACTGTTCATCCATAGAATCCATAGTCTAGACCTGATCCCTTGGGGTGTGTTCTGAACCACGCAGAACTCCGGAGTTCCGCACTCCGGTCAGGGTGTTCCCACCTCGTTTCACCCAAAAAAACAAAGTGTCGTGACTTTGCGAGAAAACAGAAAGGTCCTTCAAGGATATTCAAGGCGCCTAGCATGGCATCGCAGTTCTACAATCGTTGTGCCCATCCATCCATCTCAACATGTTCTTTTTCCAGAGGAAGAGCCTAGAATCCTAGATGTGTCTAGGCTCCTCGAAGGGCACCCGAGATCGGAAGAGAGAGCTGCCACATCATTGAACCGCGCAGGTTTTAAAGCTCCAGGCTCTCTCTCTCTCTCTTTCTCTTCGTTGGAGCTTTGTCTTGCCTTGCAGGTTTCAACAACAGCCTCACAAATGCACCCAAGGTATGGTATTCCAAACAGATCCAAACAGGCATTCCTCCAAGAAACATCCGGATCCAGCCACCGCCTTCATCGCTTGATCCTCTGAAGGCGCGAACACGTTCACTCCATCGTTTCACTCCTTGGGCCGGCCACGGCGCTGTCGAATCTCCTGCGGCGCGACGACTGCTGGGCGATCGAAGGGGGCCACCTCGTTATTCTCCACTATGCCGACGTAGAGGAATGGGTTTCGTCGGCTTACTCTACGGCTTGGGGTCATTGGCACGAACTTCTACTCTGGGAAGTCCCCCTGAGGTAGGGAATCGCCCACGGAAGCAGCAGCTGTGCACCTGTCAAGGATACCCAGTCTGTCCGAGAAGGAGTGCTTCCCGTTGTATCATTGCAGTGGCAACTTCCCCCAAAAAAAACACGGCGGTGAAAGCCGTTAGACGAGAGTGGAAGCACGTAGAAAAAATCCGAACCTCCTCGTTCGCACACCGAACTCGTCGGAGCGGCCCCGTTCAGGAACGAACTCCTCTGCGAGTCCGGCAAGACTCTGGAAGTGGCCACTCGGTGACAGGTTGCTTGCACCTCGGTGAAAGAAAGGAAGCAGCAAGTCTCAGATCTCTTTGTAATCCTTCCAAAAGAAGAGATGCTTCGGAAGTGAGACCTCTACACTAGCCCTGTACCTCAAGAATTCTGTTGACACGAGTCTCCGAGTAGCCTTCTGAAAGCGGGAACAAGATCCCGATTCCCTTACTTCCCACCGACACCACCAGCACTTGTCGTGGTCTGCGATTGAAAAGCCATCCCTTGAAAATAGTGCCGTGGAGATGTATTCGATGTAGAACCCTCCAACAACGCACTGAGGAGGTGTTATAAGATTGTTTGACGTCACTATAGATTAATTATACTTTGGGTTGAGTTGGTTATGTAAATATTCCAATCCCATGGAGTTGTTGGGATCGGTGTCTATCTATCTATCTATCTATCCATCCATCCATCCATCCAATCTCTCTCTCTCTCTCTTGATGGATTTTTCAGGTTATCAAAATCGGACTTTTCGCTGAGCACCTTTTGGAGGCCAAACGTTTGGACAGATTCCGATCCCGATCCATGGCTATGCCAAATTCCAAGAAAAATATTTCTAACAACAATTTCTATGTGTCCAACAGGTATCTCCTGGTGACAACAGGTGCCCAGAAACCACCTGTTAGTCTCAAAACAACCTGTTGCAGGTCGTAGATCGGCATCTGCAACTTGTAAACCCCAATCTTGGTGGGTTCTTGGTGATGTCCAGGCGTTGGTTGCGTTGTTCTTTCTGTGAAAAGCGTGTCCGACTTCGGACGTTTCGTGGTCCTCTCGACGCGTCGACCAAATGCCCCAGACTCGGCGACGCGACGGCCAAAACGACCCCCCGTCAGAGGTCTGGCGAAGCCTCAAGCATTGATGTGAGGTCGGTTGAGCTAGTAGTGAAGTTACAACTATAGTGGTAGTGTAAGACCAAACTAGGAAGACTCGGATGGAAGACGATGATCAACACTAGTGACTTTGAGGTGGCAAGAGCTCGTCTGCCCCGTGGTTCGGACCGCTTTCGGCACGAGAACTCCGGGCGTCCGTCCCGACTATGAATGGGTGCACCCTGGGAGTCCAGTTGACCATCAAAGGAATGGTTTGGTCTTTTCTGATGACTTCAAGACCATTCTTTTGATGGTCGAAGGAATGGTCGATTCCTGGACATTCTTGGAGATTGGAATGGACATTCAACTTCAGTTGGAACTCCTTAAGAACTTGGAGTCCAAGTCAAGGGGTGTCCTGCAAGCTTCCGTTGGTCAAAGTATATTCGAGTCCTGGACTTCGGAAGCTCGACTTAGTATAGAAACTGTTGAGCTGAGACCCCAACTCCTCAAACACGCTTGTGTGTCTTGGGTAGCGACAAAGGTAACTTGAGTGGTGTCTCAATTAGGGTCTCAATGAGAAGTAGCAAAACATCGTGA